CCAGGATTTCACCCCTTTCCTGAAGGCCATGAGAGTGGGGGCACACCGGACCTCGGGAGGCAGATTGTTCCACAGGGACATTTATAGAAGGTTTGGGGCCAAATGTACCTCCTGTGATGGTGGGACCCTCAACAGGTCTTCCCTAAGTGTTCAGACTGGACAGGCAGAATCATCCTGTCAATGTGGTTCCTGATACATCCTGGTGCTATGCCATTTAGGGCTTTATTTGTGATAATCTGCACTTTGAATTGGGCCTGGAAGCCTCTTGGCCACCACTTCAGCAGTCTCAGAACGGGTGTGATCTGCTGCATCCTGCTCCAGTTCCAGCTTCTGAGTTGTCTTCAAAGGCTGCTCCATGAAGAGGGCATTGCAGTAGTTCAAGCATGTGGTGATGAAGGCGTTCTCCTGATCTTCTCTCCCTCTTTCTTCCTCACTTTGTGGAAACAGATTAATGTAGTAGGTGACAGAGGAACTCTTGTGAACTTTATAGAAACTATGAGGTTTCTCTTTCTCTCTCTACCCTCACACCCAGTGAAAAAGATTATTGTCATGCTGCTAATGGTAGTATCTTCTTCCACCAAGAATAACAGTGGAGCTACAGTCCCTGGTGGAAGCTATTTCTTCTAGGTACCATGAGAACTGATCACCCTCATAATCAAAAAGGCAAAGGAGGCCCCAATGGACTTTGATAGCAGCATCACTACTTACTTTAGTCCAGGAAGGATGCAGCGTTCAGCAAAGTTTCCCTATCCTTTGGGAATCCTTCAGCCAGCCTCTTTTGTTTTAGGGAAGGACCACAGTGCAAAAAAACTGTGCTGATCCTGTGTGGCATGAACAGATTGTCTTTAAAGAAATGTTTCCCCCATTGTGCCGGAGAGTCAAAATCCAAGTGTGGGATGAAGGCAGCGTGAATGATGTGGCTTTGGCAACTCACTTCATAGACCTGAAGAAGATCTCAAATGAACAGGATGGTGATAAAGGTAAAGAGTCAAATACTTCTTTGATTAGGAAAATCCTGAATTATTATGGTTGGTCGCACAGTCAGCCAGATGTTTAGACGATTTGGCATTTTCATCCACCTACTGAGTCCTTCCCAAGGACCTGGTATAGGCAGATGTTGTTGTTGGATGAATTATTATTATTATTATTTAAAAATCTGTGTTATTAAGGAGAAGGATTTTTCCCCCATTTATTCTTGTGAAACATTATGTAACCTAAGACTTGAGAATCTTTAAAGAAACACTATTAAATTTCAGCTGATTTTTAAAGATGGGCATTTCTTTACAAGATATAATTTAGAGATGAGATATTAACATGTGTTTAGAAAATACAAATTATGTAGCTTCATAAAAAGAGATGCGTACATAGCCTTTCTGTTGAGATCCTCCAAGCAACATGCACAAAATTATTAAAGTTATTTCTTTTTAGAAATAAGGTGACAAAGTTATAAAAACAAGCACCAGCAGTATGCAATAAGCCAATTATTTTACACTGTCCATCATGTTTCTTGTGAACATACAGCCAGATGGTGTGTAACTAAGAGTTGGACAAGTTTTGCAAGACTAGAACAAGAAAATGTGCCTCGCTGTCTACAACCAGAGGCCCGTTTGACGGATGGAAGCATTCACTTGTCACTCTATTACTATCACTACTGTTGCCACTACTCAGCTTGATATTTCTTACTGAGAAGTTAGGAAGTGTCATCCCTTTGAGATAGTCTAGACAAGAAGCACCAACCATGAGTACTAACACTACCTTTATTGTAAGGTTACAGTAACAGAATCTTGAAAGTCTGAAAGTATCTCTCCTCTCTCTTACTTTTACTCTCCCTAAAAGTAGGGAGGGTGCCTTCTGAGATGCTTCCTCCACTCGCACCCCTCCTTTGAACTCAGATTTCATTTATCAGGCCATTGTCTAGACTGCAGCTCTTCCTCCTGTGTCCCAAGGTCATTCCCACATATCATTACAGGAAGGGCATGTCAACAATCATACAGTGGCTTACTGTGATGGAATGGAATTATGAAGGCCAGGCTCAGGGAGAAAAACATTTTCTTTCATCTCCTGAGGAGCATGGGAAATATAAGAGGTTGAGACTACAATCATACAGTGGCTTACTGTGATGGAATGGAATTATGAAGGCCAGGCTCAGGGAGAAAAACATTTTCTTTCATCTCCTGAGGAGCATGGGAAATATAAGAGGTTGAGACTAGCACCTCCCTGAGGAATTCACAATGTTGTGGCTGGCATTACTTGGGAGCTGAGTTTCAGTCTGGGAAGATTCTTGCTAGAGGTTGTAGCTAATAA